CAAATCGATTCTACGTCAAAAATTGGGTGGATATAGACCCATAGTAGGTCACTATACGATGGTTTTCTATGCCATAAATGTGTTTTTGTATCAATCTTTCAATCGATCGATAGTTTTATGAAGAAATGTCAATTTTTGACCAAATTTGTAGGAAAATTGGTGTTCAAGTGTTCAGGGACCCATATTATTTCGACGAGAAAATGGTAGTTGTCGAAGACAAAAACATCGTAAGGGGCCATTTTCAACCATTTTTCTAACACCACTGACAAAAAATTTGAAAAACATTTTTTTTCCACTGAATCCATCAACTTATCAAAACGAAATATAAGGTTTATCTGGGCTCGCCAGCAACTAAAATCTGACCTTCATTTGTTGAACCGTACATTTCAAAAGAGTAAAATGTTACTATAGTGCAAAAATTGACCATTTTTCACGAATTTTACCCATTTCAACCCATTTTCTGGAACATATTGTAGCTCTGAGAGTATAGAATCGCTTCTGCGTGATCATCTGAGCAAATTGCCTCTTGAACAGATGGATAGAAAACCTATAATTACCGAGTATTGGTGTAAAAACTGAGTTTCATCAAGAAATTTGTTCCTCCTGAAACGTAGAAACGCTGGATGTCATAACTATTAAACTTGCCGATCTTTGACCATAATCATGGCCCATTCTGTACTCAGGGCGGCCTCATTTATCGCCTGGCACTGGAATATCCCATGTGCCAAATTAAAAAAACACGCGTCGGACTGTGTAATTAATAATATATTATTAACTGTGCAGCTATAAAATGCTTTCGTCATAAGGTTTACCCAAATATTAGAAATGGCATTTATCAGATGTGACATTTTAAACGTCATTCATGATTCAAGTCAGTGATCTTTCGATAGGGACAAAAGCAATGCAAACTGAACTCTGAATGGTTTCGGATTTGCTGAATATATTACCATTGCGCTTCACTGTGTTGCGCAAAACATTTGTTAAATACGTTACGAGTTATAATTTTGCCAAAGGCTTAATTAATGTGAGGAAAAATGAAGTTGTTCGTGGACGTAGAGTGATCAATATTGTTATGCACCGTCATTGTCCCCGTAACTTTGTTATTTCTGAATCTGCGAAACACGCGTTGGAACGCTTGATGCCGTCTTTTCGAATCTTTCAAGTAATTGAAATAAGGTCGAATTGACAAATAATATATCACTTCAATGATGGAAAACACGGAAAATCCCATGAACAGTCCAAGTAGCCCGCCCAAATTTGCTAGAAAATATGAACAAATAAAAAAGAACAAATGATTTGTGGATTGTGAACTCCACATTGTGGATACTCACACAGAAATTCTGTGAAACCAATGAGTTCCTCCTTGTTCTGCGACCTATAATAGGAGTTCTGGTAGTAAACGTGCAATATGCCCGTATTTTCAACGGTAAGATTGAATCGTTTCAACAAAGGCGCTTGATCAAACATCGGTGTCGAATATATTTGATCGCATTGCAACCGTAGGGACAATCGCATTTGAAACTATCATTCAATCCCATTCGCATTTCAATTTTCACATTTTTAATGCATTCATGGTCTGAACGACCGCAGATTGTGATATTACAATGTGGTCGTGGCATATAATACAGAACGCAATTACAATATTTCTTATAGATTTTCATTTCGCACTCGCTCTGGCAATTTCGACGACTGTAAATGCTGTAAAAATATGCAAAATGTGAACAACGTTTAAAGCAGGGAAGTATTCAAAATAATACACTCGCTACTGACCGATAAAACGAGAGAAAGTTCTCGTTGTCAAAGATGCACGCTCGTATGCGCATTGGTATGCTGCGCACAGCATACGATGCTTTAGCTAAAATTGGTGTGGTAACGATGCGAGATTCAAAGCCATTGGCAATTGACAAACCATAGTGATCAACTTCGGGAAGTTCGTTGGGTGAATGCAGGAGCACTTTGAAGCCAAGCGCATTCGTTGAGGTGCAGTAATACTCACTCACAGACGCATTTAGAATAACGGAAAAGCCGATGTGGGTGCCACTACCTTTCGATGAATAAGAAAACGAATGAATTTAGACGCAATTTAAGATTTAATAACATTTGTTATAAATAGTGCCCTACCTTGCCCAGGTCGAGGATATCCATCGCGATGGTGTTTCAATTCTTCCGAGTAAAATCCAGTTTCCGGCGACCATTCATTCGCCATGTCTTCCAAATAGTCATTGTTGAAAAAGTTTTCCGATCGGCTAATTTTGTTTTTTTTTTTTTCATAAAAAGAAAGCGATTATTGATTCGTGCGCTAAAATAATTTTCAACGCCCTAACTTATACGTGTAGTTCATCATATATTTTCTGTGCACGCCATTGAAAATGCAGCAAAGTCCCAAATCAGTTAGAACACTGTTGAATATATCCGTGCAGTTCACTGTCAGGCCACCAAATCGGCACGCAACAAGCAACTGATCACAAGGTTGAGCCACCTTAAAAATTGAAGAAAATTTTCACTGAAACAGTACATGTAATTGGAAAAAAAGAATTTGGGTTACTTTTGCCAAAACTGATCTATAAATATTCCATGTGCCAGGCATGTTATTTTTTACAGTTTCATCAACACTAAATCGACATATGCTTTGAACCACCGAATACCGTTCGCTTGTGCGTGGTATTTCTGCAACGGCACTCTTCTGCACTTGGTTTAAATTACAAATTGTGACGGCTGGAAATGGGAACTCCCAAACGGGAGTGCCCGGTGTACCTAATGATACAATCAACGGAGATCGGTTCCACTTGGCCCACACACTCGATATAAAATACGCCGATAAAACAATCACCAGCAAAAACATAAAAGCAAAGTAGAATCTACAGCAATGTTTATCAGTGAACATTTTTTTTTCCAAGACACTCTTTGGCCAATAACAATACCTTTCCATTCGACTGATGTTCCTATCCGCGATATATTTTAAACCTATGTCCAAGAATAAAAAAAATATTAAGGATTTTCTTTGATTTAAAAAAGTTATCTCAAATGAAAAAAAAAAAAAATAAAATGAAACAAGACCGTGTAGGGTTGTGTTCATCAAATATTGATGGCAATTTTCACGGCAAGTAGTTGAACTGGATCGTTTTGCTGCCTCATCTTGAAATTTCTGAAGCTTCGATTCAAGTTTCCCCCTCTTTTTATGCAGAACATCTAGCTGTAATCTTGGCTCGAACATTGTGTTTGAGTCAACCATCGAATCAATCTATCTTAAGAGAATTATACAAAAAGAACGAATCTAATGCAGGCCCAAAAAGACTATGAATATCGATGTGCATTCGACGCCTTTTTATACACAATGCCAAATGCGGAAAACATTTACTACAAATTACTAAAATTTACTCTATTACTGCAACGACCTTGACATTGACATTACTAACAAGACACGAACTAGTAATTTAATTCGAACCTTTGGAAAATATCATAATGTGTTACTTATTAGTAAGCTCACAAAAGTGCTCATGTCCAGTTCAGCCTAATTATGTACTGCCGACATTTTGTAATTATCTTCAGCTAAAAAAATTGCTAGAACAACAATTTAAATCACGAAAAATGGATTGAAGCGATTTTATTAAGCTTAATCTTATCAAGTAAATTATCTTCGGCTGATCCTTGCAGATAAACCAAACTCTAATAAAACACGGATTAATTTGAACGCTTGCAATTTATTGTGGAAAAACAAACTTGTTGAGAAAGTACTGGAAAAAGTGTAAATAAAATTCGTGCCAACGCGTGCAATACTAATTTGAATATAGAATGTTCAATCCAAATAACGCTGATGATGATTGTCGTCAAAATTGTAGTTTGTTTGCACTGTTTTTAATATGAAGGGAGAATGTTTTCTCCGGCGAAGTTTATCCATCTTTTGGAACAGTTTCGACATCAACTCTCGCCGTTTATTTACGAATCGAAGATAATTACAGTAGGGGCGAATCGAGATGAAATAGAACATTTCAATAAACGAAATCACGCTGAAGCCCATAAATAAACCAAGAAGTCCACCTATATTGGCTGTTTGAAGAAATTTAATGTGAATTACTGATTCGATAGTTGTACTATTCAAGCAGTATAGGACTCATTATTATTCGCGTGTTCCATTTTTGAGAGTATGTTTTTGAATTACTGATTGATAATGTACATGTATAAACCTACATAAAAAATCCGTAAAGCTCACGAGTTCATCCATTTTCTGCGTTCGAAACATCGTTTGAGGGTAATAGATGTAAACAATGGCAATATCTGCTGGATCGATTTTTTTCGCACGTAAGAATGGTGTTTGATGAAATATCCTTGCGGTAGAATAAGTTGAGTCATAATTTAATGCAAAGCAGCCAGGTAAACAGTGTGTGCATTTGTATCCCGCACTTTGTCTCCGGATATTCGAATCGACTTTTTCCATGCATTTCATATCAGCGGTGCCACAAATCGAGATGTTTGGCTGATGTACAGGTTGATAATACATAATGCAGCCGCAATGTTTGTACAAAAGCTTCGATTCACATTCACCTTCACAACTCTAATGGATTGGGGAAGCAAAAAAAAACATCAGAAAGAGATCGAAAAAAAATGGAAATAAATCAAGAGTTGCAGAATATGTTCTCAGCTCCTTGATTACCCTGTCGGAATAGTATCTGAAATATAGAATATTAAATGTACAAACGACAATTTTAAAGAGAATGAGGCATAAAATTCTGATTTTCATTACTTATACAGCGTTAGATTGCTTTCACTTTCAAACACGCACTGTCTGATGTTTTGCGCTATGTTCCGAATGGCTGGCGACGCTGTAAACTGTTTTGGTTTGACTGCGATTCGTGTTTCATAGTTCGTTGGAATGGCAAAACCGTAGTCGGACACTTTGGTTAGGTCATTTGGTGATGATAATAATATTTTGAAGCCATAACTCCTTGTTGCGGTGCAATAATAATCGTCGATATCCGCATTAAGGCTTAAAGAAAGACCAAGTTCATTTCCTGAGCCGATGCCCGGACGCGGTAGCTCTTTCATCTCCTCCAATTCATAACCTTTTTCAAACATGAATCACAAGCATTTTAATAGAAAAAATCTTAGAACATATACACCTAATAAGTCATTCCCTTCATGGACAAAGCTTAAAATTTTAAATTCAACTTCATACTTGCCTTTTTCGGCTGTCCAAATTGGTGTATCGTCGACATAGTCATAATTCGGTAACACGTCATATTCGCTGCCATCAAAGACAAATCCGCTGAAAAGTGTTTTTAAAAGTATTTACATGAGCAATGATCAATGATCAATGATAATTTAGTCATTTTGATTCAACTTTGAAGCAATAGATTAAGGTTTTACTTTTTTCTAATCGATTCTCTCATGAGATAGTTTTTCTTTTGTGAATTGAAAACACAGCACAATCCATCATCGGTGAGGATAGTCAGAAATATCCGGGAACATTCATGCTCAACTCCCCCAAATGCACAATAAAGCAGCATATCTTCGCACCTTTTAGTAAAAGTTTTCATTATTAAGACACAAGATATACATATTTATTTTTTACCTTGGTGAAACCTGATGCATTTTCGATTTGAATTCCATTAAAGTGTTTCATTTGATATCGATTATATCGAAATAAATTATTATTATCATCGGATGAGATTTGATTTGACAAAATTGCACCTTTTTGATAATATTCCGGTAAAGTGCCCAACTTCCTTTTGAGAACGTTTCATTCATCAGTTGATCCCTTCCTATTCGACACAATGATTTAACCGTAGCAAATTCGTTACTATCCTTGGGAATGTCTCGAATAGCGCTCAACCGCACTTGGTTCATATTACAAATAGTCACGGCTTTTTAATGTACATTGATATAAATAAACAAAGAAAAAAGAAAGAACGAAGAAGAAAAACTACTGTGAAAGAAAGTCAACAGAAATTATGCAAAAAAAGCTCTTACCTGGGAACGGGATCTGCGTAATGGATGTTGTTTCAGAGCTATAATAAATATGGCAAAAGAATGAAGATGTTTATAAAATTAATTAAACCAAACGCAAAATAATCAAAACTTACTTGAGCGTGATAATTATTGGCGATTCATCCCATTTTCTATAAACATTTGTTATAAAAACCACTGACAGAATGACAACGAGCAAAAACATTAAAGTAAAGAAGATCCTGGAAGAAAAAATGTGTTCGACTTCTAGAAAAATATTCCCAAAATTGAAGCGAGCCAAAGGATTACCGTTCCAATCGACTTATTTTCCTATCACCAACGTATCTCAAGCCATGAAGTGTTGAATTGAGCAAATACCTAAACACGAAGAAAACCATTTGAAAAAATGTCTTTTTTTCACTTAAAATTAGAATATCTCTTAAGTATCTTACTCGTTCAGGTTTTCGCGGCAGCTCACACGGACATTCTTCTTTATATCACTCTCAAGCTTTTTTGTGTTCATGTGGAGTTGATCATTTGTGTGGCTAACAATACTGATGTTCAATCCGGCAGTAGACATCTTGATGTCTGTGTTTGTGACAATGTCGTTCAATCACGGCTCACTATTTCAATCTACTGAAGTATGTGCCAGTATTTCCGCACAATGAAATTACGCTTAATTATTGGTCACTGAGTAGAAAATAAATTCTGAAATAATTTTTGGCAACATGCAAATTGAGCTTAGTTTTAGTTTTTAATGTTTTAATATAATTTTTGGAAAAATACATTATTCTAGCAACATAAAGGCTACTCGTTGCATTTGTTTTTGATCTATTTTGGGAATAATTGAATATATTGGGTCTGGGAATTAATCGTGTCGATTTTTCAAAAGATGGCGTA